AAATTTCAATATATGTACTTAAATTTATTTCATTGATAATACACATGTACTAAAATTGTTCTTTTCTTTTAAGTCAATGAAAGAAAAGGTTTCTGGTTTTTTTTTTGTTTATTTAAATTTTCCACTTTTTTATCAGAACAATCTTATGCATTTTTTAATACATGCAAACAGGTATTGCAATTTCCCCCTTCAATAAGAAAATGAGCTGTCTAGCAGTTCTTAAATCTAAGAGTTTTGAAAATAATTAGAAAGCAACGTGTTTGACCAATTTTTAAAACCGTGAACAACCATAAAGTCACATGTGACTTATCATGTATATATCAACTCTATATCAATAACTCTATCAAAATACATGTATATCATATTTCTAACCCTAATCTGTTTTAAATGAGGAATATATTTTTGTTTTAACTTAAATATGAATCAAAAACTATCTATAATATGAAAAACAAATTTTCAACCTGCTCAATATTTTCAATATACAGCTTTTTTTGTAATTAGATTCATAGCACTTAATATATAATCAGCAATAATTTAGACAGCACTTTACAATGTATTAAACTGGATACAACACAATGCTAACAATATAATTACAGAATTAATGTTTACCCAGCAATAATGGAGATACCCCATCCTGATAATCAATAACAATGATTTTTCAGATTTCTGAAATCTGATATAATTTAGCACACACTGTAAAAATGATGGCTAATAATTTTTCTTGAACTTCTCTGACTTCGGTACATGCTAGTACATAAACAAATATCACTGGTACAAACACAAAAAGCATCATTCTGACCAAATGAATATAGAAAATATGTTTTAACTTAAAGATCTACAAAAATAAAAAAAAGGATTTATCTTCTTTGAAAAACTAGTGCTGTTCAGCTTTATAAGCAATTTATCTCCAACCTTGAAAAAATTACTTTATAAAACATAATTTTAAGATTTATAAAAAGGCTGAAGTATACCGCACTCAATGCCAGCTTTTGTATGTAACAAGTCAGAATTATTTCAGAAGGCTTTTACTCATAAAAGAAACAGGGCTATTGTTAACAAAAAGTTGTTTTTGAAATACATTTCTTTTAAAGAGGTAACTATTGACTTACATTGTAGATTTACCCTCTTACAACTGTTTTCACATATGTTACTGTATTTTTATATTATATTTTTTTCATTTTCATTTCATTCAATTTCAAAACCTTAATAATACATAATTTGGGTACATAATGTATATCTGCTGGCTTCTAATGTCTGTTTATCTGGACCCAATATATTTTCAAAATTTTAATACAGATTCTAATTGTGGGACAATCATGTTGTATTAACTGTCATTCAAAAAAAAAAAAAAAACTAGAAACATGGAATGTTCTACATTGAAACATGTATAAGTACATGCTGGTATATACTATCTTGATTAAAAATTCAAAATCAGAAGTTTTATGATAATTTTGTAATTTGTTTAAACCTATCTCTGATTTTTTTTTAAAATTTCATTCTTTGGATATAAATATTTTTAACTAAAAGTCATTGGTAGAAATAAGATTATATTATGAAAATAATAAATAAATCCCGTCCCATTTTCAGTACAGAAAACTTTTTGTTCTCAGACTATGAGATGTAGCATTATTAATATTGTAAAATGCCATTATTAAAATACTGTAAGTTTTTTTGGTATTGCCTCTACAAAAAAAATGAATCATCAAATAGTTTTTAAATATAAAACAATTCCTTGGAAAATGTTCATACAAAATTCCAAGACAAAAACATAATCACTAATTGTAAGTAAACATCCATTTGATTCAAAAGTGAGGTGAGGGGTCAAAAAATAGAGAGATGACAATGAAATTCAGAGCTTTGAAATGTTTCACAATTCCTGATTGGCTCCTTGGTGATAATATGGACTAATGAGGCTGCTTTTTACTGAAGGGTGATAGTGAAATCTTTAGCAATGTTAACCCCTGGCTTCCTGACTGTTAGCACTCGACTGGTACTGTCATAACTATGATAAAGAGACTGGGAATTTCCATCAACTGAAAAAATAAATACATTGGAAAAGGGTTATTATAAGATATACATGCATACTGAAATTTGTTTTACCAATGCTGGAAAGAGAATAAATTCAACCCAACAGTGCACAGAAAATCTTGCACCGTAAGTTGCACCTTCTACACATGTATGCATAACAGGATCTGTAGAGTTATGGTCAAAGACTGATATATAAAACCATGACAATAAAGTTCTGAAGCTAATTCATTATATGATGCTAAATAGATATTGTTGAACATATGTTGCAATTTTACTAGTGAAAAACATACACAGTACACTGTATTTTACATTAAACAGGAAGTAAAAGACAAGAAGTTCAACTCAACTATATTCTATATTTATTTTTTCAAAGGAGGCATGCTTTATATTTCTCATCCTTCTTTAAAATGAAATATTAATCTTCAGGTCAAGATGTTCATAAACCTACCTGTAATATGTACGCTGGATGCAGCTTTAGGAAATCCTACGATGACTAATTTTTCTAGCCATTCTTTAGTTGATCCTTGTCCATTTGGATCTGCATTACTAAAATAAGATAATAATCTTGTTCAAATACCGCTATTCGAACACTCAAAGTAAAAGAAAACTTAACTAGAACTGTTCAAATGGGACAAAATAACGCCCAGTGGGTTTTTCAGAAGTGCTAAATCATGAATAATTTATGGATCTAAGAGAAAAGAGAAATGCTAAAAACATTTTTAGTGCAAATGTAATTGCTCATTATATTTTTTATAAATGAAACAAAGGCCCAGCCTAATAAAAAAATTAGACTAAATGTACAGACCACACAAGAATTATGAACTTTTTCTGTCAGTGACCTTGAACTTGGATAAATGACCTTGGTTCAAAGTCATGACACAACCTCAGGTCATAAGCAATGTTTGTGTGAAGTAGTAGATTCAAGTTTTTTCATAATAAAGAAAGATATGGACCGGACACAAATTATAATATTTTTCTTGCAGTGACCTTGAACTTCCCCAATGACCTTGACACAACATCACGACACACCCGTAGGTTATGAGCAATCTTTGTGTAAAATGAAAACTTACCAAGTTCATCCATAAGAAAGATATGGACCGGACACGAATTATGAAATTTTTCTTCCAGTGACCTTGAACTTCCCCAAATGACCTTGACCCAAGGTTATGACACATCCTTAGGTCAGGAGGAATCTTTGTGTGAAATGAGAACCTACAATGTTTGTCCATAAGAAAGATATGGACTGGACACAAATTATGAATTTTTTCTTCCAGTGACTTTGAACTTCCCCAATGACCTTGACCCAACGTCACGACACACCCGTAGGTTATGAGCAATCTTTGTGTGAAATTAAAACCTACCAAGTTTATCCATAAGAAAGATATGGACCAGACACAAATTATGAATTTTTTCTTCCAGTGACCATGAACTTCCCCAAGTGACCTTAGGTCAAGGTCATGACACACCCTTAGGTCATAAGCAATCTTTGTGTGAAATTAGAACCTACCAAGTTTATCCATAAGAAAGATATGGACCGGACATGAATTATAAACTTTTTCTTCCAGTGACCTTGAACTTCCTCAAATGACCTTTGATCAAGGTCATGACACACCCTTAGGTCATAGGCAATCTTTGTGTGGAGTAGTAGAATCTAATGTTCCTCCTTAAGAAAGATATGGACCGGACACGTTTGCACAGACAGACGGACAGCTAGACAGACAGACGGACGGACAGACGGACAAGGTGATTCCTATATACCCCCACAAACTTCGTTTGCGGGGGGTATAATTACTATAAAAAAAAAAATCTCAGGACTTACCTGCTTTGTAATATATTATTTTTGAAGCTAAATTCTCTGTGAATGTAATTTCCACTTCTGTAAGCGAATGATTTATAATCATCTGCATACAAATCTCCCTCAGCCTCCCCCTGTAACAGAAGGATCAATATATAACTTAGGCTATTGTGCAAAAATGAAAGATCATAAACACACTCACTTGTCACTGCTTAAATTTTTTTTTCTAAAATTTTTTGGTGTACATCTAAAATTGTTTAGTATAAAGAACATGGATATTGTGAATTCACAGATATAGCGTAGTTATCTTGGATCCCTGGCTATATATATTCAACATTTTCCTTTTAGGGATATAACAAATTACGCATAGAACAAAGTAATTTCATAGGTCATTGTGACTTCGTAATATCTGAGTTTTACTGTATCCATTAAAAAAAATTCTCTACTCCTTTTTTTAACCTGTATTGTTTTAAATGATTATTTTGAAAACAAACCTGTTTATTGAGACAAATAACCAAAGTGAAGGGATCAGCTGTCATTAAGGAGGAGGACCTCCGCACCCTCATTTTACGTGGAACAATGGATCCACCCCTCTGAAAGACCGGGATTTTTCCCAGAGGTGCATTAATGTAAGTGTTCTGAGCACCTCCATAGCTCTGGTACGTCTGTATATCATACCATACCTAGATAGAATCAAATCAAAATCAGAGTCTGTGAAAATCAAAATAAGTATGAAATGACACATTTCTGAGCTACAATCACTAATGTCTACAATTAATTACGCATCTTTTTGCAACTTACATCGTTTTTGCCAGGGAAATACACAGTTGTTCCAGTTGCCCCCTGATCTGTGATTGGTTTGACCAAAAGTGAAGATCCTGAAATATAAATAAACATTTTGCATTCAAATTAAATACTGAACAAAATACTGTTGCCATTACAAAAATCCCAATTCAAATCTCGTCAGATGGAAAAATGAACAGTCTTAGTTGAGCAGTTTTTAAATCTTAGTTTTGAGTATAACATCATATTTACCTAATAAATATTCATCATCCATTTTGAATGTGCTTTTATCCTCAGGAAACTCGACCCACAGTGGACTCATGACCGTCTCGCCGCTACGATAACCATGGTAAAACAGCGTGTACCAGAAAGGGAGGTAAGTGTATCGCTGGCGGATGGCGTCCCGGACTATATTCCTGTTCTCCTCCGGTAATAAGTATGGCTCTCGTCTCTTTGTGTCAATGTGGGCGTGAGCTCTGAAGAATGGTTGGAAGGCTGCAGCCTTAGGAAATACAAAACAATACAGTTATTCACAAGATATTTCATCAAGTTTTGCAAAGACAGAAAAGATTTTAAGGTTAAACCTCCTTCTGGTATTAAACTTCACTTTTTATACCCGCACTTTCGAAAGAAAGTTCGGGTATATTGTTGTTACTCATGTCCGTCCGTCCGTCCGTCTGTCACACTTTTCTTCCCTGAACTCCTCCTACATTTTTCACAGTAGCTTAATCATCCTTTGGGAGATGGTTGGGGGTGTCATGTAGATGTGCAGTAAGGTTTCGGAATTTTGATTTTGCCCCGGGGGATCAAATGGGGGTCGAAAAATGACGTTTTTTATACAAAAAGCCCCTTCTTCCCTGAACTCCTTCTACATTTTACTCAGCAGCCTAATCATCTTTTGAGAGATGGTTGGTGGTGTCATGTAGATGTGCAGTAAGGTTTCGGAATTTTGATTTTGCCCCGGGGGATCAAATGGGGGTCGAAAAATGACATTTTTTATACAAAAAGCCCCTTCTTCCCTGAACTCCTTCTATATTTTACTCAGCAGCCTAATCATCTTTTGAGAGATGGTTGGTGGTGTCATGTAGATGTGCAGTAAGGTTTCGGAATTTTGATTTTGCCCCCGGGGATCAAATGGGGGTCGAAAAATGACGTTTTTTATACAAAAAGCCCCTTCTTCCCTGAACTCCTTCTACATTTTACTCAGCAGCCTAATCATCTTTTGAGAGATGGTTGGTGGTGTCATGTAGATTTTCAGTAAGGTTTCGGAATTTTGATTTTGCCCCGGGGGATCAAATGGGGGTCGAAAAATGATGTTTTTTATACAAAAAGCCCCTTCTTCCCTGAACTCCTTCTACATTTTACTCAGCAGCCTAATCATCTTTTGAGAGATGGTTGGTGGTGTCATGTAGATGTGCAGTAAGGTTTCGGAATTTTGATTTTGCCCCAGGGGATCAAATGGGGGTCGAAAAATGACGTTTTTTTATATAAAAAGCCCCTTCTTCCCTGAACTCCTTCTACATTTTACTCAGCAGCCTTATCATCTTTTAAGAGATGGTTGGTGGTGTCATGTAGATGTGCAGTAAGGTTTCGGAATTTTCATTTTGCCCGGGGGGTGGGGGGGATGGGGATCAAATCGAGGTAGAATTTTTTATATATTTTTTTTATTTTACATATATTTGACATGTTTAATCACCCTGCTTTGAAGAACTTCCCTAATATCTTATGCTGCAATAGCTTTAAACCATGATTATTTAGAAAATGATTGGTTTGTTTTGTGTATGTGTAAAATGGTTTCAAAATTTTGAATTTTCATATGGACGGCAAAATGGGGTTGGAAAAATATGGCACCTCCCTAACCCTGGTGGTCATGATTTGTACAAACTTGAATCTACACCTCTTGAGAATATTTCCATATTAATCATGCTCTTGGTGTTTCCTGAAAAGAAGAACTTTAAAGATGTGTTTCCTTTTATTCCTAAATAAAACTTTGATCCCTAATTGTGGCCTGACCCTAGCCTAAGGTGATGATTTGAAAAACTAGAAATATGTCTATAGGACATGAATGTCCCGCCAGATGTGTATTACTAATGGTACATTAAACAAGAGGCCCATGGGCCACATCGCTCACCTGAGTACTGAAGCTAAGAAAAAGTAGAAATTGGTTTATCATTGAAAAGTTAAAATCCAAAAGTAATCCCATGATTAATCATGGATTTGCTTTCTTCGAAGAATTTCCCCATATATTTCTATGTAAAACTTTGGTCGGCCATTTTGGCCCCGCCCTACCCCCTGGGGTCATGATTTGTACAAATTTGAATCTACACTACCTGAAGATGCTTCCATATAAATATGATGAATTATGGATTTGTCATTCTTGAGAAGATTTTTAAAGAATTTTCCCATAAATTTCTATGTAAAACTTTGGTCGGCCTTTTTGGCCCCACCCTACCCCCAGGGTCATGATTTGAACAAACTTGAATCTTCACTACCTGAGGATGCTTCCATATAAATTTGATGAATTATGGCTTTGTCATTCTTGAGAAGAAGATTTTTAAAGAATTTTCCTATATATTTCTATGTAAAACTTTGGTCAGCCATTTTGGCCCTGCCCTACCCCCGGGGGTCATGATTTGAACAAACTTGAATCTACACTATCTGAGGATGTTACCCCATAAGTTTCATCTTTCCTGGCACAGTGGTTCTTGAGAAGAAGATTTTTAAAGAATTTTCCAATATATTTCTATATAAAACTTTGGTCGGCCATTTTGGCCCTGCCATACCCCCGGGGGTCATGATTTGAACATATTTGAATATTCACTACCTGAGGATGTTAACCCATAAGTTTCATCTTTCCTGGCACAGTGGTTCTTGAGAAGAAGATTTTTAAAACATGCCACCAAATTTTAATTAATTCCCAATTATCTCCCCTTGAATGAGGTCATGGCCATTCATTTGAAAAAACTTGAATCCCCTTCACCTAAGGATGCTTTGTGGCAAGTTTGGTTGAAATGGCCCAGTGGTTCTTGAGAAGAAGTCGAAAATGTGTAAAGTTTACAGACAGCTAGACAGACAGACGGACGCCGGACAAAATGTGATCAGAAAAGCTCACTTGAGCCTTCTGCTCAGGTGAGCTAAAAACTAAAATTTGTATTTGTGTATAAAGTTTGATGAAAATATCTTAAACAGTTTTTTTTTTCAGAATTGAAACTAAAATATAAATAAATTGGATATAGATAATAAATTCTCATCAAATTATGTATAAGTGCATGTTAAACATAAAAATGTCTTAAATTATTTCTTAAAAACTAAGCAAAATACATATTAAAGAGGAGGGAGGTCAAGGTCACAGGAATGTGCAAGATGAAGTTTTTGATGCAGCTGAATAGCTCTCACTAATACATATCAGCTTATTATGTTTGATAAAAATATCTTGAATGATTTAATGAAACTGAGCTTAACACTTTATTTTAAGAAAAGAGAGGTCAAAGGAAAGGTTGTGGTCAAAATGTTGTTCTAGCATATGAATTTTGTAGGGGTGGGACGATACACACATCTTGCGATACGATACGTATCTCAATATATTGGCACGATACGATACGTATCTCAATATTTTGAGAAATTGTAAAACTATTCAAAAGAATTAGTATTTTATTTCTTTTTTTTGTCTTGACATTAAATGAACAAATTATTCTATATCAAATTATGTTTGCTTTGAAATTAATACTTGAAGTTCATCAATTTCATTGACTAAAACTTTACAAAAACAATAATACATGTACATACTATTATTACCAAATTACTATTCAGAAGTTGTTTACAAATAGTTGTGTAGTTTATCAGAGAACACTGACTAAAAATTCATTTAAAAAACATCGATCACATTTACATTTTTATTAATTCATTGCTGAAAGTCTGTAGCTAAGTTGAGATTACAAAAAAAAAGTACAAAATGGACTAACAATTAACATGATTAATAATATCAAATGTTCTGGAAACGATATTTTCTGTGTATAGCACGCATTACATACTGAACTTTTCTTGTCCAATCTTCCGACCAATCTTCCGAGGCTGCTTTAAAGTGAAAACATTTTACCCCTAACGAACGACTTATTAGTTTTAAAGTGTGTTTTCAATATCAACATCATCTCTTCGCTCGTACAAGCCGCCATATTCCTCCAAGGACAGGTACTTTCATTTTCAATTTTTGAATAGGTCGTTCGTGTATCGTTTCGTACCGATATTTGAATGCTTGTATCTTAAACCGTATCTTGGAGGAAAATATCGATATGTATCGGTGTATCGGTATATCGTCCCACCCCTAGAATTTTGATAAATAATTAATGGTTTATTTGAAACTTAGATAAACACATATTTTAAAAGTGAGGTCAAGGTCAAAAGAAAATTCAAGGTCAAAATAAGTTAATGCAATAATAGCTCTCATCAGTATGTATTAGCATATGAAGTTTGATTAATATATCTTGAACTGTTTATTCAAAACTGATCTAGTCTAAGACAGTGAGGTCAAGATCACAGGAAATGTCAAGAGTGAAGCATTGTAAAGCTTTAATTGCTTACATCAGTATGTATCATCATGTGAAGTTTCATTACACAACTTGAATCATTATGGTTTCTCTAAAATAAAGCTAAACACTAATTTTAAGAAAAGTTAAGTAAAGGTCAAAGGAAAGTAAAGGTAAACAAGATGTGTTTGTGAAACACTATGCGCCCGGCGGAAACAAAGTTCAAAAATCTATTTTTAGCATATTGGTCACAGTCAAGGTCACAAGGTCACTGACCGTGATGTCATTTGAAAGAACTTAATCAGTGGAGTATGCATCCCAAATAGGAAGTCCCTATGGTTTAAAAGTTATGGCCAAAAGTGTAAAAAGCTATTTTTAGCATATAGGTCACAGTCAAGGTCATTGACCATGGTGTCATTTGAAAGAGTTTAATCAGTGGAGTATGCATCCTAAATATGAAGTTCCTATCTCCTATGGTTAAAAAGTTATGGCAAAAAGTGTAAAAAGCTATTTTTAGCATATAGGTCACAGTCAAGGTCACAAGGTCATTGACCATGGTGTCATTTGAAAGAACTTAATCAGTGGAGTATGCATCCCAAATATGAAGTTCCTGTCTCCTATGGTTCAAAAGTTATGGCAAAAAGTGTAAAAAGCTATTTTTAGCATATAGGTCACAGTCAAGGTCACAAGGTCATTGACCATGGTGTCATTTGAAAGAACATAATCAGTGGAGTATGCATCCCAAATATGAGGTGACTATCTCCTATGGTTCAAAAGTTATGGCAAAAAGTGTAAAAAGCTATTTTTAGCATATATAGGTCACAGTCAAGGTCACAAGATCATTGACCTTGTTGTCAACTGAAAGGGCTTTATTAGAGGAGTATGCATACCAAATATCAAGTCCCTATCTCCTATGGTTAAAAAGTTATGACAAACAGTGGAAAAAGCTATTTTTAGCATATAGGTCACAGTCAAGGTCACAAGGTCATTGACCTTGATGTCATTTGAAAGGACTTTATTAGTGGAGTATGCATACCAAATATGAAGTCTCTATCTCTTATTGTTCAAAAGTTATGGCCAAGGTTAAAGTTGACAACAGACATACAGACAAACAGATAAACAGACAAACAGACAAACAGACAGGACAAAAACAATATATGCCCGGGATCTATCGATCCGGGCGCATAAAAAATATTGCCACAGTTGGATAGTTTACATCAGTATATGCATCAGCATATGAACTTTGATGAAAATATCTAGAAAGTAATTTCTTTGAGCTCGATGGAAAGATAGTTGGAAGGGTAGAGGACGGACATGACAAAAACTAATACATGTATTCCTAATCATGGCGTAGCATAAAAAACTTGAATATACATTATATGAGGATGTTTCCATATCAAGATTATACATGCAAATTTGAAGAATTGTGGTCCTTTGCTTTCTGTGTTTAAGTGAATGGGATGCCATAATTTATGGCAGATTGTGTATCAAATATGCATCCCTATCATATGTCACTTTATGAAAATTAGGTCAAAGGGGGGAAATCATCGCATGCTCGAAATATTTTGTTGCAGGTAAAGTACATGTATGTCAAATATGAAAGACCCATCTCTTTTCAATCAAAAGTTATATATATATATATTTAAATATATAATATAATATTTTTGAAAAGTAGGTTAAACTTCTAGGTCAAGATCAGAAAGTCAAAAGTCATGATATATTTAGAAAAGTCTTTTCACATGTAATATACATGTATAATTTAAATGTCATATCTTTTCTCTTTCAAAATGATTAATTTAAAATGTTATTTTTTGGAAAGTAGGTAAAATTTTGAGGTCAAGGTCTCACTTGGGTTAAAAAATCATAGTACATTTAGAAAGTTTTGTGGTAATGTACATGTGAAATATGAAAGCCCTATCTCATATTATTCAAAAGTTATGATCAAGGTTAAATTTATTGTGACAGATGCACATACTGTCAAAGATGGCCAGACTGACAGACAAATAAGATTTAATGTTCCCTCCCTTTCCCCCAAAGGGACAATAATGCCCTTGCTGTTCTTGAGAAGAAGATTTATGATGGAAAAAATCCCCTGCATATTTCTTAACGCAAATCAATATTGTGTTTTATGTCATTTAATTGTTTGTTTGTTGTTAAACATCCCTCTCAGGAATTTTTCACTCAAATGGAGACACCCCCACTTGAAAAATAATGAGGACAAGTCAGATTTGAGGTCAACATTCATTTTAGGAGTTTTCAACCATTAAGACGTAAAGAGACAGGAACTCGATCCTTCCCCTCACCCCATCCCAGACCCCTGTTTATATTCATGACATGTATGCCAACTACTGCTTGTTTTACATTTTAAAAAATATGTTAATAGCCTATATATATACAAATACTTTAATGTGGTCCATCTCTTTGAATGATTTTCATTCCTAATTCTAGGAGGATAGGTTGATGAATGAAATGTCAAGCAATCTTATCATTGATGCACTTTTATTTCATTAAATGCAGTCATATTGTGAACATTTCCAGTTAGAATCATTAGGAGAGTGGGGATGACCTCCAGGGGGTTCAAAACCTTTATACCATTAAATTTACATAACATAATAACTCAAAAAGCGCAAAATTATGTATGGTCAAATGGAAAAAGTTTCCTACTATTTAGGAGTCACATGATCATTTGCCATTACTGTTTACAGGGACTGGAAGTGTATCTTGAGATCCCCCCCCCCCTCTCGAATTTGCAGGACTATAATATAAAAAAGACTTTGGATGCCCTCCACCCTAGAAAACAGACACCACCATAACTTCTCCTTTTATTTGCTTCTCAGGAAATTCTGGTCTGGAAATCCCCCCTCCCTCTCAGAAAAAAAATTCTGTATTTTGTAACTGAATGTAACGTCGATAACGGGCGATAACTCTTTAGAATGTGAAATTCGTCTTATTGCAGCATCGGATGACCTTTGATCCTTTAAACATTAACCTAACCAGTTGCATTTCAGACTATTTTACCCAAATCTATACCAAAATGTGTACTTACCGACTGCCATAGCTCCAACTTCATGAAATATAATCCAATTAAAACACAAAATAATTCCAACTGACATACATGCAATGATGTGTACACAACACTAGGCCTAGTACTGCACGTGCAGTGCTATCTAAAAATGATAATGGTAAAACTAGTACTTAAGTTAGGTACGTGACGCAAGCCCAATGTGATGCAGGTCTTCAGATACATTTACAGTATAAGAACAAATTTAAAATTATTATTTACAAAAGATGTTTTATCTTAACTTTGCCATCTAGGCCTATTTCCAAAATCAGGAAAATAGGGTGTGTTTGCGTGTGTGTGTGTTGATGGGAGAAGGGTGGGGGTTGACTAAATTGATTGGGTATACATGGTATATGGCAGCTTTCAAGGTGTTTCTGCCTAATCAAGTATAAAAAAGTTTGTACATTTTGGAAAAAATCATCAAAAACGCTTTAAACTAATTTGAATAATATTTGTTGTTGATCTATATGAGAAAATAGATTTAAAAAGTTCCAATTATGGGCCAAAAATCCCCCCCCCCCCCTTGTTTCAAACCTAATTTACATCATTAATTGAATTCTGTTGTTTAATTTCAGACTGGTAATGAATTATGAATATGAAATACATGTACCTATAAGATCGAGGCCCATGGGTCACATGTTCACTTGAGAATATTATGCTCAATTTGATGAATACATGGAAGCCCTATTATGTAAATTATTGAATTATATTGACTTTTTCTTTGGTAAAGCCTAATTTTAGAGGAGTGTGCATTTAGAGGCAAACACCTTAGTGCGGGTATTACTGTCTCATGACAGCATCTAGTTTGTTAATAATTTTTAACAAAAAATTCAAAACAATAATCAAAATTTCAACAAGCCTTGAAAGTAATTTGACAAAAATGGCCTAAATACTTGACAATTTTAAAAAAGAATAATCAGTCTTAAATTCCAGTGAGAGTTATTTCTCTTATCAAAAGGTCACACAACCTTAAATGCTAAATGGCATTACCTGATACCAGCGGGTCTGCAGTTCATTATCAGGGTTCTTGAAGAAGCCACCCACGTCAGCTCCTGAGAAGGTTATTCCAGCCAAGTTCAGGGTCAGTAACATGGGTACAGACACCTTAAGATGTGACCATTCACCCATATTGTCTCCAGTCCATACTGCACCTGTAACAATGCAAAATTATGTTAATATAAACAAAACCAAACTCAAAAACATGATGAACTAAACAAATCCTTTCATATCACTGATATCCAGCATTTTCCAATATTCTGATCATCATTTAATGATAATTTTTTCCACTTTGAATTCCTTCAGTTTATTAATTCTTACCAAACCTCTGGGACCCTGCAAAGAAAGCCCTGGTGAGGACAAATGGTCTCTGCTCATTGTTAGATCTCATCAGAATCCCCTCAGCTGTGGCTTTTTGCTACAACAAATAAACAAGCCTTTTGTTCAGTAACAATATCACATCAAAATTAAGACGAAAAAAATTCAAAAAGAATTTTCTATATTCTTGCATATATAGATTAAAGCTGAGTACTTACCACATAAAATCCATATAAATTGTGTACGTCTCTGTTTTCAAATCCACCGTGATGAAGTACGTCTTTGTGAAATGTAATTTCTGGCCCATTAAAGACAGAAGGTTCGTTCATGTCATTCCAGATATACAGGTCAGGGGTGCTTCCATCGTATTCAGAATACTGAAATTTAGAGGCCCACCAGTTTCTGACCTCAGGGTTAGTGAAGTCGGGCCAGCTTGAGGAACCTAAAAATACACATAACTACATCAGCATTGTTGGGACAAAAGTCTTGGAACTCATTCACTTTATAGTTTTATCTGTATGTTAAAATAAATTTACTATGAAGCACTTCATTAAATTAAAAGAATATAATGGGGCATTCATTATAATTTGCTGGTTGATAAGGAAGAGACCTAATTCTTCAAGATTCCTGTCCACAAAAACTTAATTCATCAAGATCCCTGTCCACAGGGTCAAAGACTTGAACTGGTGTTTGAACTTAAAACTCGTAGGGTTCTTGTGCACTTACAAGACTTATTCCCCCTCTATCATAAATACAATTCCTACCTGGCCAGCACCACCCCTCGTATTCCCCTCCGTTCCCACCCTTCACCATGAGGTCCCTGTTTTTAGCGTCGGCGTACACCTTGTAGTTGTCGTCTCGCTTCAGATGAGGGTCCACGATCGTCACCATCTTTCTCCCCTTAGCTCCTTCAGCATCCAGCATGTCCTTAGAGCCCGGGAACTTGTGGGCATCCCAGGTAAAGTATCTACCAAGAAGTCAAATCAATCATAAGTAAAGTATCTACCAATAATTATATCCCATGTACAGTATAGATCCACTAATAATTCAATTAAATCCAATCAATAACATCCAATGTAAAGTATCTATCAATAATCATGACAAATTAATCACATTCCGTATCTACCAATGCAATAAATCAAATTAATCACATCCCTTAGCTTATAAGAACTGTAAACCAACTTTTATTCAAATGCAATAAATTTTTTGCAAAGTTCGCAAGAGTCTCCTCATTGCAAATATTTCTCGCAGCGAGCCGGTCTTTTAAGTCTCGGTGTCTTAAGCTTTTAACCATTATCCAAAAAAGAATTTGATCACAAAAATTAATCTTCACAAACGTGTTTCCCCCTTTAAATCGCCAAATAAAGTAAAATAAAATTCCATTTAAAGTATCTGCAGATGTTAGTATCTGTAGGTAGTTTAAGCTTGATATAAATGAGAACCGTACCTTTTACCATCTGTATGTTCAATGTCTAACCAAATCACATCAAACGGGATGTCAAACAGGTCCATATTGGCATCAACACTGAAGTAAGAAAGTGAAACATGATACCATTTCTGCATAAATTATTTTTATGTTGTGTTATCATAATCTTTAGCTTGCTGTTATATTTTACTTACTGTAAAAGCACACATATTCGTGGGGGATTAAATTTCGTTTATTTCGTTGTTAACAATTATCAAAGAAATTAAATCCCACACAAAATTTTATGACTATATATTGAATGGGTTGCTTTCAAAACAACAAACTTTTATCCCCACAAAACTACTTCTGATGACAAATCAACGAAATTTTATCTCCACGAAAATTTGTGCTTCTACAGTACTCCTCACAGATATTTTCTAGTCTATGATCTACTCACTTTTTAACATCTTCTTGGTCATTATAATTCCACCTGCACTGGTGATATGAAATCGCAAAGAGCTGCCAAGAGAAACAAAATTATCAATAATTGCAAAATAAGGAATTCACTTGTTTTTTCCCCATGCCCTTAAATTCATTAACTTTGAAACAGATTTTATTTCTGAATCCTCATGCACTGTAGTTTTATCATTTTTTAGCTGAACACAAATTTCTATTTTTGCCAGGTTGAGTTAGGTGATCAGAATCTACAAATTTTTTCTTATATACAATAGGAGACAATGAAGCTCTCCATGAATTTCCATATAAACAAATTCATTACTTTTGCCCTACTTTTATCCCCAGTGATACAAAAGCTTTAAACCTACCGGTGGGAGTTCTGTGGACCCGGTCAGAGTGGCGTACTGTTTGAAGACGTCTTTGGGGCGGGGACCCAGCATCACAAACACGTCAATGACCCCACTCTCAGAAAACCAGTGAGTGTCCATCTGGGCCATCTCTGTGTTTCCCTTCACCAGGTCCGCAATTTTAGAAAAGAAATTCTGCAAGGTAAATTAACTTACTCAAAATAACACATATATTAAAGCCTTTCTGAAGTTTCCCTGGTATTTTAGGCCTTACCTGGCTAAAATCATGACTGTACCGGCAAAATTATATTTCTTCCAGATGATTACTTCTTTTTTGTAAGGTAATGCCTGTTTCTAACTTTTCTGAAAACCCCATATATATGTACCTGATACATGTATTGGACAGAGCTTTAAGAACTGTATATGGATATTTGGAATCCATTAATTTTATTTCTGTATCATAATTACATGTACCGTACAACTGAGGTGAGTATTGAATATGAATTATTTGGAAGTTTGTATTTGTATTTACAGAGGTGAGTCCTTACCTTGTCTGCTGTTGTGGAGCTGATGTCTATCCAGGTCTCTGCAGCATTGTTCCAATATATCCCCACCGTGCTCTTCTCACTACAAACAAACGCGTCAATATAGTAATCAACATGTAAGACATTGATTACAACATGTAAGATTTTGATTATAATATGCAAGATTTTGATTACAGCAGGTAAGATTTTGATTATAATATGCAAGATTTTGATTACAGCAGGTAAGATTTTGATTATTATATGCAAGATTTTGATTACAGCATGTAAGATTTTGATTATAATATGCAAGATTTTGATTACAACAATCATGCAAGATTTTGATTGCAACATGCAAGATTTGATTACAACATGTACGATGTCATATCTTTACAATCTAACCTCGGAACCATCACAGCAAAACAAAGGAAGACCAATAACTCTTACCTAATTTTTCTTTCACTTTTGCAAAGATGCATCACTTTACTTTCACTTTACCAGTTTTTCACCTTTACTTTCACCTTAATCAAAAGCAAAACTTACTTGTGGGCCCACATGACAGGTACAGATCCATAAAGAGCCATGGGGTTGTATAATTCATACTCAAACACGTCCAAGTTAAACAAACGATAGGGGTCTGTGTCTCTGTAAATAAACAACATACATGTATACAGATCATTTGTGGCTTCTATTAATCAGAACTTGCTTACAAGTCTGTAGTTGAGGAGTTATAAATTAACAGTCTATACATGCAAGTCTCTGATAAGACAATCACTTTGTTCAAGACAGTTCAGGGTTCACTTACTTTGTGGTTTTGAGTGCCATACTTTCAGCATGTTCAGGAATTCCGTACACATTCTCAAAACCCGGGAATGAGATGTCAATACCAACAGAGGCAGGACCTGTAGCAAAAAAACATTTCAAGATTTGGGAAACTCTTAATAATCATACAAACTTGAATTAATATTTTCTAAAATACATGTTATAGACTTAGTAAGGACATATTTTTTCTTCCACTTTTCATGTCAATGACCTCACCATTGGGCTTAGGATCATGGAAGGATTTAAAGGTTTCCTCCCACAATCCTGACTCCTCTGGGTCCTCTGGCTTCTTCTCTTCTTCTTCCTTCTTTACTTCTTCCTCCTCCTGAAATCAACCAATCAAATGATTCAGCATAAAATAAAACTACCAACCACATAGCTCAGCACAAGATGAAGCAACCAATCATATATCTCAGCACAAAATAAAAGTATGCAGAGAACCAAAAATTCATATTCCCCCCAAATAATTTCATACTACAGTAATGAGGTCCTCCTTTAACCCACAAATCAAATCCTCTTCAACTAGTATTTTTTCCTTAAACCACAAAATTTTGACCCTTTGAAAAAATGTGATTTTACAGGACATGCTAAAGCATAAAATCATTTCTAATATATAGTCATAACTCTCTACAGTGGATCACCCTGACCCTCCACTGACCTTTTTCTCCTCTCCCTCAGCGGGTGGTTCCGCGGGGGCGGCTTCCTCTGGTGGTGCCTCTCTGAAAGGTTGGGAAAACCATGAGAAAACAGAAGTCACCTTGTCCAGCCAGCCCCTAGACAAGAGAGAGGCTACTGACTTCTGGCTTAGTACAACATGCACAACTATAGTAGCACAAAGAACAGAACAAGAGGGTCAGAATATGGAGTGCTAGGCCTGGTAGGCACAGTCAAACTGCCTAAGAATTGTTAACAGAATAGATATCTGATACAGCATATTTTTTACTTTGCCTAGCTAGATTTTCATTTGGTTTCTTTAGAGAAAAAGTTTGAATCTTACTTGATGTGTTTAAGATGGAACTTTGAAAAATGACTACTTTGATTTAAAATTAAATTAGTACAATAACGCAAGGAGTTAATCTTTTTAAGTTGTGGAATTTTACAGATTAGTTTCAGATATGAATATCA